CAGCGTCAAGGAAATCGACACAAGGCCTGGCTCCTTCTGCCGACGGCCATAAGCGAAGCCAGAGAAGGGCTGCGGATGACCTCGGGCGACCAGGATACTGTCGCCCATCTCCGGATAGTCGTGCCGAACCGCGTTGTACATAAGTTCCTTTTTTGTGGGAAAGTGTGGAAGCTTAGGCTATCATCCTCCTCCTTGCGATGCAAGGAGAAGAAGACGTTGCACAGCTTGAAGAAGCGCGAGAAGGCGTTGTTCATGACCGTCGCCTCGCCAGATCCAAGTGGCTGCACCACCTTAAAGCCTTCTTCGTTCAGCTCGGGATGGTCCTCTTAGCTCTTGAGCTCATAAGCAAAAAACAGTGTACACCTTCACTTCTATAAGGGATCATCTTTTTCAAAAAAAAGTCTAAAGTGTAGTCATTCAGCTACTAAGGTCCTGTAGAAACCTGCTGCGAGGATCCGGTCGGACGAAGAGGGGGCAGGTCCCAAGGTTGTTGACTGGGAGATTCTCACAGGACCTAAGCTGTTCAGTAACCCTTGGGGAAAAGCATATACTTTTGGGGGTTTAGGATGTAGGGTTTAGGGTTTAGGGTTTAGGGTTTCTTATAATAAAATAAGAACCCAGGAACCCAAAAAGTAAAAAACAAAATACGACTGAATAGCCTAGGGACAGCCTCACGAGATGCCCACCCCATGGACAGCTTTGTTTCCAGAGTTTGCCAGCAGGGCTCTCATGGCCAAGCTGCCAGCCCTCATCTTCGAGCAGATTCGGGACGTTGAGCAACCATTCATCGATGTTCTCTGGGCAGACTGCCATTTTGGTCTGCTGGTATGGCTTCGGTGCTCTTTATGCTTCTAAGGAACTGTTACGCCATCTAAAGGCTTGAACCATATTCCGCATGACCATACTGGTCTTCACTCGATCAATAGCATGCATCAAGATGCGAGAGTTGCTGTTCAAGTTCGTGAACGAGTTTCATCCCGACTTGTACAGCACCATCAAAGTGAGGGTGATCATTGTTTAAGGAAAAACTAACCCTAAACCCTGAGCTCTAAACCCTAAACTGTGCCTGAATTCCAGAACGAGACAGCAGCAGCGCGCCTGTAGACTTCTGCGAAGCGCTCCGGTCCTGCTCATGGCGCCGCTTTGTGGGGATTTTCACTTCAATATGGGCGTTTCTCAAAATGAGGGTCCTTTTTAGGGTCCTTTTTTACGGGAGCCGTACTATCTTTGAGGACGTTTTACAAAGGGCCCGAATTTAGAGAACTACCATATAATCAGCAATTTTTACATCTTTTAAAGGTTTCTGTTGGCTTCAGGCTTCTGATTTTTTCTCGATCTGGAAACCACGAGAGGCCGTTCGGCTTCACGGGACTATCATCTTCGGGCTTCAAGCCTAAACCCTAAACCCTAAACCAAGCCCAAAAAAACTTGAGGTTTCGGATTTAGGGATATTTTTCGGGAGGCCAAAGTTACTGTAGTGGAAGTCTACCCATAGGCCACTAAGTAGTTCTTTTTTGGGATTACCTTATAGGATTCTATATATATATATGTATATATAAACCATAAAAAGGAACTACTTAGGGCCCTATGGGCAATTAGGGGTCCTTACAACATGGCTGCATTTGGCCATGAGTTCGGGCTGCGTCTTCACAACTTAGGGCGCGCATCCAGTTGGCAAGAAGGTTCCCTACAGGGGTAGAAGCAGCTACCACTACCCTTTTTGGGGCTCTTTAAGATAACTAGAGCAAAACAGCCCCCAAAAGCCTTTGCGATTTTGTTATGACCCCTAAATTGCTCTTTAAAATATGGTTTCAGCTCGGAGGAGTTTCTCACGCGCTCGTCGGCTGCTTGCCGTAAGGCTCGTGAGACCGGGCATGTCTTGGGAGACTTTCTTGCGAGTGCTCCGCGGCTCTGAGGGTGGTTTGTTCGCCAAATATTGAGGGTCTACAGCAATCCTCCCAGAAACTCGCAGCACCTCTCCTCAATCAGGGCTCCTACTAACCGTGAAAGCCCCATAACCACCGTCGAACCCTTAACTGAAGCTCCTTCAGAAGACCAAGGAACCTGTCAATAGATGGGCCTGCATAGGCAAGCCTGGGTTGGCTTTGGGAGGGTTTTGCTTTTCATTACACAACGGAAGCCGCAGGAATGGTCTTACTACGGTTGATGATACAAATCCTGCATTACATAATAAGGACTATACCATATATGTCCCATAGTTTAGGGTCCTTAAGGTAACGCAGGATTTCTATCATCAACAGTAATGAGTCAGTCCGGTATACTGTGCCGCAAACCTTACAACTCTGTGCCCTGCAAGCAAACCTCTACCGTTCCCTGGCCTGAACAGGAAATCTTGTCTTTCACGCGCTGCGTCACCTGCGTTGAGGAGACATGTGGGAGCTAACATGAGCGTCTTAATGCTTAGACTAGATTTGTGGGGTGCCCCCCAAAAGAAGGGAATCTAAATTACGTACTACAAGCAGACTCCTGCCAGAGCGTGATGAGGCAGGCGGGTTTGGAGTTTTCCAATTAACAGGGGCAGGGCCGCATCATTTAGACTTGGTTAAGCTTACGCACACAACAATCCCTCTTCATGGTCTGAGGGGGTGCCTAAACCCTAAACCCTTCACCCTAAACCCTTCACCCTAAACCCTAAACCCTGAACCCTAAACCCTGAACCCTAAACCCTGAACCCTTAAACCCTCAACCCTAAACCCTGAACCCTATAAACCCTAAGCCAGATGCTCCACATGTTTGGTCTTAGACTTCCTTGTTCAGGGGTTCAGCGGAAGGCACAACCAACTTAAACTTTCTGTTTTGATTTTGGTCTCCAGGAAGACCTAAACCCTAATGTAGGAGTCTTAATAATTAGAATAGGGTTTTGGGGCATAATATACTATAATAATAATAATAAGGAACCCCCCAAACCCTATTCTAATTATTAATGCCCCTACATTAAACCTCAAACCGGCCAATCGACCCTGAAAGCCAGATCCCTCGCAATAACAGCTCCGATCTCCCCTCCCAAAAGTACATACTGCACTCTACCCCGCCACCCTGACAACCCAACCACGGAATTCAAGTCCCTACCAGGACCCTCCAAGCGCCCTTGAATAGAGTCCTCGTGGTCCTTAATAGTGGGTAGTTAAGGTATAATAACCCTAAACCCGTAAACCCTACACCCCAAACCCCAAACCCAAAACCCCCAAAACCCAAAACCCCTTAAACCTCCAAACCCTAAACCCCCTAAACCCCCAAGCCCTGACAGAACGGAGCAGAATTGATGAGTGCTGGGGCCAAGCCTTTGGGCCAAAAGGGGGCCCGGGAAACCTCGGAAAACCTCAATTCAAAGAAGAACGTTAGGGGATTCCGGGCTCTTAAAATTTGAAGCTTTAGGGGCATTACGGGCTTTTTAATTTGAAGCTTTAGGGCGTTGAGGATTTAAGCATGTTTTTTTGGGGGGATTAGGAGGATCTAGGGTGGTTTTGCTTTTGGGTAGGGCTGCTGGAGCTTAAGGTATAAGGGTTTAGGGTTTAGGGTATAAGTCTTTGGGGTTCGGGTCTTTGGGTTTCGTGTTTTCGGGTTCACTGTTGCTTGCGGTTCCTTGTGTTGTTCCCGATTGGAGTTCTTAAGGTCGGCGTAGAGGTGTATTGGTGCGCTTGTTACAGGTGTTTTGTTTCTGTGCTTTTCTGCGATTGTTTTCAGGGTTGACGGCTTAGGGTTTGTGTTTTAGTGCGCGCGCGCACGTTGCTGTTGGGTTTAGGGTAGAGGGGTTCCAGGGTTTCTTGAGATAGGGGCACTCGGCAGACCTTGTTTGCTGTGTCCGTACAAGGTGAGGCTGCTAGTGAGGGCAAGCTGCCTGTATTGGGGAGGGGTGCGGGGGCTCAAACCTTAACGCATGGACTCCTTAAAGCCCTTCAAACCCCCTAAATCCGTTAATCCCTAACACCTAAACCTAAACCCTTAAATCCAGTAGCAACAGCCTTAACCAACAAACCTAGTTTTGCGAAGGGTCCCCATAGATTCTATATTCGGGTTCAGCATAAAAAACAAACGTAGGTTCTGGTAGCTGAAGGCCAGAGACTCCAATATCCCTTAGCTAAGGAATATTCCTTAAAGTATAGTAGGATCCCCCAATATGTGTCTAAGGTATATTCCTGAATTAAGGGATATTGGAGTCTCTAAGGAACCCTAAAAGAACCCAGCCCCTCTAGGCGCCTCTGACAGGAAATCGTCCCAATCAATCTTCCCGTTGCCTTTCTTGTCCCACTCCTGACCAGGGGGCTTTGGGATTCGGGGTTTCGGGTTTATATTGCTTTGTAGGGGTGTGACGAATTTCTTGGGCTCTATTCCGGCTTGCAGACTCCAGATTTATCTCGTTGCGGACGTAATAATGCTGGGTATTCTAGAGGGTTTTTCTGAATGCTTACTTGGAGGTTCATGGGTAGTTATAAGTATGGGTATAAGTCCCCTAATATGGGTTATAACTATAGTTACCTTACTTATAACCCCACTTATATTATAACTACCCATGAACCTCCAAGTAGGGCCTAGGGTAACGGGGGTTTGGGCCTGAGGCCTTATAGTAGGTTTGGGGGATCTAGAGTGTTTTTTCGAAGTCAAGACGCAAGGGTTGAGTTTGGGGGCTTGGTGTGGTGGTTAGGTGTGAGTATATGCATATATTATAGCATAAATGTGTATCTATGTATGCATGTATGCATGTGTGTATAGAAATATGCACAACATACATACTTAGGACTTCGGATTCAGGTGCGAGGTACTCCGGGTCCGTTACGGCCGAGAGGCTCCCTCACCCTTCGATTTCGAATCTTCCTTCGAGTGTCTGCTTGGAGGCCCAGGGGACTTAGTAAGTCGGTTATAAGTAGGGTTATAATTAGGGCAACTCCATTTAGGCTACTTATAACTCTACTTATAACCCACTTACTAAGCCCCCTGGGCCTCCAATTGAGGCATAAGGGTTTCGGGTTGTAGGGGTTAGTCTTCGAGTTCAAGGTTTTGGGGTCTGGAAGCTTAAATACGGGACGTTTCAGTCTCCGCCCGACCCACATCGCCCACTATCAGTTCCCGGTGGAGTCCGGACGTTTCCTACATGGTTTCCATATTTTCACAGAACCGTGGCTCTAGTAGCCGCAATGCTTGGTCAAAAAGCGATGATGCACTTTCCTTGTTCTGGTAACGTGCTTCCAGTTCCCCAGCAAGAACCCCAGGATATGCACCTTGAATGTTTGATCCAAGTCGTCATCCTCGTTGTCCTCGGCTCCAAATACTCTTCTGGTTGGCCATTTAAAGCCTCTGAAAAATATTAGTAAATAGGGTCCTCTTAAGCCCAATAAGGGAAAATATAAAATACCCCAAAGGCCTACCTAGTGTTAATTAAGCTACATACCGAAATCGTACGAGGGGTCGGTCTGACCCAGTATCCTCTGACTTGAGGGGTATTGGGCTTCCATAGGCGTTCCTGTCTGAGGATGTGCTTGGGGCGTGACACGCACCTTCCACTCTGCACCGGATCAACCCTAAACTCTAAGCCCCTAAACCCTAAACTTAGGGTTTAAGGTTTAGGGCAAGCTTCAACCTACACCCTGAAATCCGAGGATCTGATCCACCGTTGCCTGCTAATGGCCTTTCGGTCTAGGATCACATGATCTACGGGCCAACTTTGTAATTAGGCCCATGGTTTTGGGGTATCTTGTACTATTGTTAGTTGAAGGAGCGCTATATGTAAGGAGACGACGATTCTTGATGATTCAGAACTCGAAATACGGCCTTCAGGGCTCTGCTACACCCTTAGC